ACAGCACTAACGCACACTTCTGTGGTCTCAATATTATGGGAAAATTCAAATGAATCTAAACTAATAAAGGAAATGAATCAGTGATTTTGAAACTGAAATAAATAAGAAAATCACCTTCCCACCCACCCAAAGTATTTTTTTATGATCTAAAAGAATTCGAGGATAGCAACTAGATTTACCTGAATATCTGACATCAGTGTTAGAAGTAGGGATTAAACCTTGTAAAAATAAAAATAAAATAAAATAAAAAAACAGCACAACAGCCAGATTTTAACAAAAATGTGATGAAAGAAAACAGTCAAACTTTAAAAGAATCAACGGAAAGAACTGAAATGACCTGAATAAAAACGTTGTTATGTGGTTATGTTTTTTGTTATACAATGAAAGTGAACAAAAAGTGTGTTTMATGGCCTTGTGTGTTTGGAATTATTCAAGTATGTTTGTTACAGTGAGACAAAGGTTCGGAGACACTCCGTTTCTGTCTGTGGACGCCTGCATGCCTTTCCGCCGCCTGGGTGGACGGACCCGGACGTGTGTGTGTGTGTGTGTGTGTGCTGCTACAAATGGTGGGAGCGTCTGTAAGACCACTCATTCTAACAACCCAAAGTGTTTCACTGGAAACGGCTTCCAGAGGGTGTTCACAGCAGGACTGTTGGGGGTAACATAAAGAGAAAGAGTTTGGGGTTCCTGCACTCAGGTGGTCCCGTGTTTTCAGTGGGGTCAAACACTGACCAGCAGTGAACACTGTGCACCCAGGACCGCCGAGGGGCAGGCAGGTGGGCGGGCGGGCTGAGAAATGAGTGAGACCACCAGTTTTACAACCAATTCCACAAACTGTCCTGACTCTGCTTGACAGATGTCGACCCTGAGGAAAATGTGCAGAATATAGACTAAAAACTGATTAATGCTCGTTTGTTTATTTATTTACTTATTTAAACTAAGTTCAACCCTTGAAATCAGGTCAAATAATTAGAACCAAAAAGAAAAACTGCTGCTCATTAGCAATTCTGCAAAAGATTCATTTAGGAAAAAAAAAACGGTAAGAAAGTGGCATTTGGTCTCGAAGCCTGAAAAATGACATCTTGTGTTGCTTTTGAGCTTAAGAGATGTTTTTTTTCTTTTTCTGCAAAATGAGATTCCAACTTTTAAAAGAAAAAAAAAGATGGCTGCTGCTGAAAAAGCAGGAACAAGGCCTGACATTCATAAACTTACACCTGCCAGACCCTTTGCCTTTTTTTTTTTCTTTTTCTTTTTAGGCTTTGCTTTGAGGGCAAAGTTAACATGCATAGAGCGTCAAGCACAGGATGGCGAGGAAAGAGCTGAGTTCAGCGCACGGCACGGAGCGTTTGATGGTCTGAAAGGGCCTGATGAGATTAAACTGCATGCATGCCTGACTGTAGCACTGAAACATGAATAAAATAGAAAAAAACTGCAGGTTTAACAGAGAGCTGCAGCAGTTTTGATAGTGGTGCTTGCTTCCGTGGAAGTTTTCTGTGCCTTTAACCTGACATACTGAGCATGAGACGATCAGAGAATCACATGGTGACTTTTAGTTTGAATGTTGAATGTAAAAAAAAAACACGTGACCAAAAAAAAGAGTTTAAAAGCAGCTGTTTGATTTATCAGCAACTTCTTTTTGAAATCAGATCATAAGCAGAGGAATTGTTGGTGCTTATGGAATGGAGCTGGGTTCGTCCCACCCTACAAACCTGATGCTCAGAAACCATCTTTTATATTTYTTATCCTGGAGTTTAGATCAAGCCACTAATTACAGCCAATTTTTCCCCTGCTGGCTGTTTCTGCAGTTGGATGGAGGACGGGAGGAGGAGCCAGGGAAGGAGGAGGAAATGAGGGTGTCTGCGACAGAGTGTCTCCTCCTTTGTGCTGTTCAACTCATGATAAACCTCAGTCTTTTTATCGGGACCTGCCCTCTCTTGCCTGTTTGGTGCAGATATCTGCTTTGTTCCCGCAGCCCAGATCCTCTTCCCCAGCATTTGACCTTCAAATTAAGCAGTCCTGATGTCTGACGCACTCTACTTTCTGACAGGACAGGTACAGCCAAGATGAGGGAGGACTCTCTGGGGGGGAACGCCATGCTAACACTCCTGTTACCTCCGGAGAAGCCACTATGGGCMGAGCCAGGAAGCTCTGACTCTAGCTGCAGAAAATAAATAAGAATAAAAATGAATGAATATGAAAATGAATAAAAAGCTTTCATTCGCCCGTCTTTGGTACTGTTTTTTTTTCCTCCAATGTGCTCAAGAAATGGATAAATCTTGGTTTTGTTTCCATTTTGTGCTAAGGACATGCTAATCTGAGCAGTTTTTAGACCTCAAACAGCTGCTTTTAAAGGAGTTCAGAGGTTTTGTGAGTTATTCTTTTAGAAAATAAAAAAAACCGAACATAAACTCTGAACACAATTTAACACTAACCCACTTTTATGTCTGAGACCATTAAGACAGGGTAACAGAAGCATTAGCTTTTTGAGGTGCTTGTGGGGAGCGGGTGGGTGCTGATTGTTTTGTCGAAACACAGAAAGTTCCACTGCATATGGAAACCCCCCTGAAACAACAGAGAGAACAGAGGTTCCGGGTCATGACTATCATTGGACTGTACATTTACTTTCCTCAACTGTGGAACAAAGAGTAATTAACAAGAGTGCAAATTGTGTTTTGAGTGTAAGGCTGCGACATCTATGTTCTGCATGTTTCTCGTCACCGCGTTCATTCGTTTCAAGCTAACAAAGGCCATCCCTGAGCAGGGCGTAAAATTCAACTCCCGTTGAATTTTAGAGTAAAGTGATGAGTATATTGTGCAGTCAATGTGAGTACAATGACAGAAGTAGCAACTGTCTTCAATCCTGAGGTGTGTGTGTATGTGTGTGTGTACCCCTTTTCTTTACCCGTTCAAAAAACAAAACAAAAAAGAACATTTTTGATAAGACTTATCAGGGTGTTTGTCTGGTTTTTCTTCTTCTTCTAAACTGTGAACAAACATTGACCAACTAGCCAGGAGCAGAAGCTTAAAAAAAATACAGACATGTGGTACAGAACGCAGATATCGCCATCTGGGAAAGGCATTATCTTCTTTTAGGATCACACAAGTAATTGCACTACAATAAGCACTTATGTACAGTATGGTACACCACAGCAAGCACAGGAATAGCAAACAGGAAGGGAGGAAAGGGGGGAGGGTTGCTGACAACTGTGCAACAAAAAAGTGTTACGACAAAAAGAAAACGCCTCGCGGTCCGGAGGCCTGGAAAGTGCAACCAGGTTTCAGTTTAAGGCGAGTTGGCGGGGCTGAGGGCGGGGCTGAGGGTGGGGCTGAGGGTGGGGCTGGAGGCGTCCGAGCGGCTGTAGTCGCTGAGAGAGCCGGGGCGCGTGCTGCTGCCGCCGCTGTGGGGCCTCTTCAACATGCCGGGCTGGAAATCCGAGTGGCGGCGTGCGTGCTTCATCAGGTGGTCGCTGCGCATGAAGCGCTTGTCGCAGAGGGGGCAGCCGAACTTCTTYTCCCCCGTGTGCGTGCGGTAGTGGCGGGCAAGCTCGTCCGAGCGGGCGAACTTCTTACTGCAGTCGGGCCAGGTGCACGGGAAGGGCCGCTCGCCTGGAAAACACAGACGGGAAGGATGAGCAGTCACACAGGGAGGAAACAACACGTTAACACCAGTCATCCTACTTCTGTGAGGGTTTCAGCTCATTTAGCTTTTAGTCCAAYACTTTTTATAACTTTACCTTTTTAAGTAGTTGTTTTGCAAATAAGGTTACAGTTATTATTAGGGTTACGCAGCTCAGAAAAACTATAATACTCCTAGACAATTTTCTAAAATGAGCCTGGATTTTAAAATGGAACTCTAAAACAATACCAAAAATATTTCATTACATCATTTCCCTTTGATCAGTTACAACAGGGGTGGGCAATCATGGTCCTCGAGGGCCGCAGCACTACATGTTTCATACTTTTCCCTGCTCCAACACACCTACTTCAGTCCCTGAACTACTTCTTCCTAGTTCTGCAGTACAGAGGACCGAAACTGACTTAATTAGAAATAAAAGCAGAAATAGATAAATGAACCTTTAAATAAATAAATGTATTTTAAATGCGCCAAATAAATTAAAAAGGAGAACTTTACATTGTTTTAAAATTTAATTGACCTTCATATTTATTTTTCCAGATCGGTTCCAATAAATTATATATTTTAACACATAATTGAAATTTTAATGTTTTTTTTAATATATATTTTACATAGTTTTT